CACTCACTCTCATTCACACACTCACACTCTCACACACACACTCACACTCACACACACTCACACTCACACACACTCACACACTCACACACACTCACACTCACACTCACACACACTCACACTCACACTCACACACACACACTCACACACACACACACACACACTCACACCACCAGTGATTCACCACATCAAGCAACCACTGTAGCTTTCTCTGTCTCCATTCCACCTCGGGTTCCATGGGAAAGCATCTTTTTTAAACAATGTAAACATCCTGTTGATCTAATGGTCATCTGTAACCAGTTTGAACAGAGAAACTTGTTGCCATTTCTCTGCTATTAAATGCTCTTGGGAGACTCAAATCTTAATGCTGTTTTACAAGGAGATACGCCAGTCTATTCAATATGCCCTGGGACAGAGCATTCACGTCTATTGCTGTCGCCATTGTGCTTACATGGAGCTGAGAGGAAAATCTCCGTATCTTTTTTCGTCGGGATCCATCAACTTGCCAGCCCAGAGTCACTTCCAGGAGGTTCGCTGGGTGGGGAGATGGGAGAAGCGCTGCCGAGGGTTTATTCTACTCCCTGCTGTTTCAGCCTGCAGAGATGCTGGGTTCCAGCCGGCCAGGTAGTGCACACCTGGAGTCCAGCAACTCGGGAGGCTGAGGCAGGAAGATCCCATCTCAAGAGCAAGATCCCAGCTCAAAATTAAGAAGGAAGGAAGGAAGGAATTCTGGTCTCTCCTGCTACTAATTGTTCATAAGTTTTTTTTTCCTCCAAATCGTTTCCAAACATGTTGCCTTTTAATTCTTTAATTATTTATACCAAAACTACTCATGAACAATTCCACCTTTGCTTGCTAACCATTCTAAGTTTTCATCAACATGAGGCATGACCAGCAGAAGAGTTAATAATAAAATAGTAGCCACGTAGGGTGGTGCTCGCCTGTAATCCCAGCGACTCGGGAGGCTGAGGCAGGAGGATTGCAAGTTCATAGACCAGCCTCACTAACTTAGCAAGGCTCTAACTCAAAATTTAAAATAAATAAATAAATAAATAAAATTTTAAAAGCTCTGGTTAAGTTTTCTAGGGTTCAATGCTTAGTGTATATATATATATGAATAAAGAAGTTAAACCTTCCCACCTCTCTTCTCTCTCCCAAGTTCAATGACCCACAGACAACCTCTTAAACCCTCAGAGATTTATGTGATCTGATGATCACCTCCAGATACAATGTCCACACGCTGCTATTATTAGTATGCTATATGGAGAAATTACAGAAAAGTTATAAGAGTGGTAAAAAGAATCTCCGCATCCTCTTTACCCAGATCCCCCAAATAACATTCTCATCCTTCATAAATGTACAAAGGTCCACATACGTAGAGATCAGTAGGAATCTAGATATAATACTTATGAGCTTCTAAATGTCTGAAATGGGTTGCACATGTGGTATCTCATTACTTCTAGATACCTCTGCATGTCTTTTCTGATAACCACAGTATGC